ATATATATAATTTTTAATTTTTCTTCTTAAGCAATGTAATGTTTTTTTGGCAGTTTTAAGATTTTACTATTGCTTTTTTTTATTCTTGAAGTATAAGCAATTTAGTTTTATCAGTAGGAAAATTGAAATTTAAATAAGATTTTTTTCTATACTAAATATTTTTTTTCTTATTCATTATTATTATATATAATTAGCATTTTTCTTATTTTTGTAACATTTTGCAATATTAATGTTTTGCGAAGTTTGCGAATTTTTTTTATTAGATGCAATTACATTTTGTTGCAAAGCCTTATTTTTTGTACAATATGGAATGATTAAGTCTTTGTTAAATATATTTTATACAACTCACGTGATTAATTATTATATTATTTTCAATAGTAACTTGATTTTTCACATAGATTATTTAGAAGATTTTAAATCTAGAGAATTAGAAATTCTAAAATATATTCTTAGAATTTATATGTATTATTATTAAAATAATCTTTTGGTTGTTCCATATTATTAGAATATTTTCCAATATTTTTGATTACATATTTTGAATTTTTTAATTATTATTAAAATTGAGACCTAATTTCGGTTCTAGCGATTCATATAAATATATTTCAATTATTTAAATATTGACCACTAAAGATATGATAAATTTGTTTTAATGTTTTGTTATTAATATTTTTCATTTTTTTTATTTTATTCATAAATTTTTCTTTCTTTATCATATTAAACAATATATGGTAAGAGAACTAACACACAACTGCAAAACTCTAGACTAGACTCTACTGTAGAATATTATAGAATGTAAACCTGAGAATTGAATATATTAAGATGACCATTCATATTACATTTTGTATTATTGTTTTATCGATATTATAAAATTTTGTATAGTGATTTTATATTTAAAATATACGTATTGTTTTGTATTAGTTTTTACTATTCAGAAAAATTTTATTATAGATAAATATTGATACCATTTGCATTATTCATATCATAAATTAAAATTTATGATATCAAATAAAAAATTATATATCTATTATATATATTATTATTTTGTTGTTAATTTATTATACTTTTTTATATGTATTTATAAAAAGTAACATCAAGAATCATTTTTTAAAATATATGATTAAGATTAATATTTAATATATTAAATAGATCTAAATATAAAAGAATTTTAACTCTAGATCAAGGCGCAGAAATGTCAATAATACATAAACACATTATATGTTTCGATAAGAAATGTTAATACTAATTTATCTTATAGTTAAAATTATTTGTTAAAAAATATAATAGAATAGAAAATATTTAAATAAATCAACTACATCTGAGAAACGCAAACTATGAAATATTACTAATATTTGATTAAAGATTGATTAGATATAGTGCTATTAACTTAACCTATTAAGATATTTGTGTTAGTGTAAATTATAAAGTAAGTTTCTTTCTATAATAATTCTTAGTGCAATATAATCTATTGTACGAAATTGCAATAAAGTTTAAGAGTTTACAGACGAGTAAAATAGCTAGTTCTATCGAAATGTAATCGTAAACAGATTTTTTTTTATATTTTTATTTTTATATTATTAATATTTGCTTCTTTTTCCTCTTTTTCAAGAGCAAAGAAAAGGTAAATATTTAAAAAGTTTTAAATCATTACAAATAAAATATATTTATATAATTTTTAAATATATAGTTCATATAATTTAATATAGTTTATATAGCTTTCTTGCAAATTTTAAATAAAATTTATGTTACATTAACATTTAGATTATTCTATTTGTACTATTTGTAATATTATATTAGTGGGAAAGTTAAATCAGTTTTTGTTTTTGAAAAGATAATTTCAAATGAGCCATATATTATTGCTCATAATGAATTCATTTTATATTAATTTTTATAATCATATTATTACAAACGAAGTATAAGACAGATATGACATTTTATTTATTTTATAGATTTTTTATTTCGTGTTTGAAATACTAATCTCATAAAAAAATATGTTTCTTATATTTTTTATGATTGTACATATTTCTATATGTCATATACTTATAAAAGATGTATATTTTTTTATATATATCGATATCACAATATCGATAAATATAAGATTTCACTTGATATAACTATTTCGATTTACACTTTATTTTTTACTTATTTTCCGTAGCGAAAAATGTTTTAGATAAAAATGATTAAGTAGTTTCAAGAACACATTTTAAAATTATTTATGTATTTTAATATTACTTTATTTTTGTAATATTATTTATTATATTTAGAGGAATTCGCAGAGTTCATATGAAAATTGAATCATTTTTTTTAAATAAAACTTTATATTTTTTTGATATATTAAAGTTATATAATAAAATATGTAGTAAATATATTAATTTAGAAGATATTTAATTATATTAAAATAATTGTTAATTTTTTATGGTCCAATATTTTTTATAAAGAATGGTGAAATATATCAATTTACATATAAACAAAAGTAATAAATAATAAAAAAAAAATTGGGAAATTGATGCTATCTCTATGTTTTAAATTAAATAAATATACATAAAAAAAAACAAATAATAGAAAAAGAATAGATAAGATAAGAATTAAAATAAGAATTGACTGTCAATGCCTTTTTTTAAGTGATAAAGATAAGTGATAAATCTCTTTTCGTAAGAAGAATAAAATAGAATAAGAATTGAGGATGCCATCTATTGTCAAAAATATTTTTTTAAAAACATTTAAAGAAATATAACATTAAAAGAAATAGCGCTAATTTTTAATTCTATTACTTTATTTTTTTATGAAAAAATGTTTTTGATTTTCAAGAGATGATGCTAATCCTCAATTCTCATGCTATTTCTATTCTTTTTATTTTTATTTATATTTGTTTTATTTTATTTATATAAAGCACAGGAGATAGCGCTGATTCCTCAATTTTTATTTTATTTCTATCTTTCTCCCGCTATTTGTTTATATTTGTTCTTAATGCATCATCAAAAACAAAATATAAGATGAGAATTAATATAAAAAATTTAATGTGAAAAATTGATATCATATATATTTTTTGATTTCTAAAATAATGATTTCATGAAATATAGATGCATTTGATATTAGCGACAATGTAAAATTTAATTAAATAAAAAACTGATTCGGTAATAAAAAAAATAAAAATTCTATTGAAAAATAACACTATCAAAAATTCATTTTCTTTCTTCTATTCTAATAATTCTCTTATTTCATAAAATACTTCTAAAATATATATTAATTCAATATTCAATATATAAAATACAAGTTGTTATTGAATACGAAACAATAGAGACTTAATATAATATAGTTTTAATAAAAAATTATAGTTTATGAAATTCACTCTACATTTTTTTTTTGTAATTTCATAAAAATGTAGTTTTAAATTCCAATTGTGAATATTGTAATTTTATTCTATTCTAAATTAATTTGTCGATAATGACAACGAATAAAATTATAATGAATTTTGGAACAAAAATAGGGAACAGATTTAGAAAATATATATCTTATGGGACTTTATGCACAGACTTTCTTATCTGTATTTATATGATCCGCGAATTCCATAACAAAAAAATATATTACATGTCATGTCTATTTTCTATTTTGTTTATGGTAAACATATGATTCGTAGATAAGATATAATAATTTTAATTTGATGACTTTTCCTAAATTCTGCTACTCATCTTTTAACTCGTGCGTTTCAACGTATATATATATAATAATAAGTTCATAACAACTTATATAATAAGCATTATTTAACTTTACTAATATTGGTTTTATTTAAATTCATTAAATTAAAACTTGCAATAGGATGTTTTTTGATAATATTAAATAATATTTCAAAAACATTCTCATTTTATTAAATTTAAATTAATAATATAAATATTAAAATTTATATTGAAATTATTAAAAATATTTATATTATAATTATATATTATACTTCATATTCGATATAATTATATTGTATTTTATTAATATTTATAAATTGAAATTTAAAATTTAAATATTAGATTGATGATTTTTAATAATATCAACATTAAAATTAAATTTTATCTTTCCCAAATATTTTAAACATATATAATTTAATTTATACTTGCTTTTTAAATAAAAAATCTTTTGTTTTTAAATAAAAAAGAAAAAACTTTCGATTTATTAATAACAAAATTTTATATACATATATACGAATGTAGTAATAATATTTGAATAATAAATGAGTTATATCTTACATTTTTATATATTATTTTATATATTATTAAATCTTAAATAAAATGAAATAAAATATTTTTTTATATATTTATGTTAAATATATAACATTTATATACATATATATATACATATAAATATAAATAATATTTAAAATTTATATATAAATATAAATCGGTTTATAAATAAATCATTCATTTTACGATAACAATTTCATTAAATTGCTAAAATCGCCTTACTAGTTTTACGTAAATATCTATCGTCCAAAATAGGATGTCTTGATTTATTACATAAGACATTTCGAAGACATGTTTATTACACCATTAAAATATTTGTTCCCTTAATAATCGATAGTCATTCTATATTTTTATTTTTGAAATAAATTATTTATTTAACGTTATAATTTTATATTTTTGCATGGCATTAATTAAAAAACCAGAAAAATAAATTTTTTTATTTATTTACTACTTTAATTATATGAATTTGCTTAACGATTATTTTTAAATCAATTTATTTTAAGAAACTTATTCATTATATGAATATAAATATAATAATTATTAATTATTAATTGATGAATAAAAATTATATAAGTAGTAACAATGAAATTCTGATATGAAATATTTATTTACAATAATTTAATTGTATAAAAATCTCGAAAATGTAATATCTTCATTTTGTCTTCTTAAACTTAATAAAACAACTTAAAAATTATATTTTTATGGAAGAATATCTTGATGTTTAAAATCATGCAATATAAATCCGACTAGGATTCAAGATCAAAAACAGAGAGAAAATTAAAAACACACAGAAAAAATATATTTTGTTTTTCTTGATAAATGTAGTGTCATATGTACAATGCCATTACTGATAATATAAATTAGTCTTGGTGTACATTGTCTTCATCTTATTTATCTCTAAACTGTTTTATAGTTACTATTTTATAGTTTTTCATTTTTTTAATAATTTTACGCATTTAAATTTAAAAAAAAGAGTAAAAAATTTAAATTCTACTTTAACAATTTCTTTATCCAAATTAAATAATTTCAAGTGAATAGATGCTATAGCTCTTTATCCAATAAACAATGAACTTATTATAAACTTGATTGAGCATATAAAGGAACAGGAATGGGAGACTGCTTTTACTTAATGATCATGACAATGTAATGATATTCAAGTGATAACAACATCTACCACTCTTTTTTATGTTCATCCATTGATACACCTCCAGGTCCTAAAGAAACTATCATTAAAAGGCCACCAATCACTGATAATGTCTGTAAAGATTTAAATATTATATTTAATATTCTTAATTAATAAAATTATAAGATGAATAATTATTAACTAATTTAATAAAAAGCAATAAAAAGGATTGAAAAATACCTGGAAAAAATCATATTTAAGAAAGTCTCGAAGTGCTTTATACTCTGGAATGGTCCACCATGCATTGTGATAAAGATTCAATGCAGATAATAGTAAGACAAGTAATAGTGCACTGAGTTTGGTTTTATATCCAATAGTTACTAATATCATCAAACTGCTTCCAAGAATATCTTGCAAAACTTGAAGGAATGATATTTCAAAACGAATTAGCGTAGTAAACATAAATGCTAATAAAATTCTTCCAGCTAATTGTAAAAGATTTTTAGGCTTATTATCTCCCAAACTTGGAACACCAGCAAATAATGATCTGCCTTCTCTTCTTGATTCAGCCAAAACCAAAAGAAGTGCTCCTATTAATGCCAAATTTCTAAATAGAAATGTTATATCCCAGAAAATATTGTAAGCTAATGTCTGAAGAACGACTATGAAAAACAAGATTCCACAAGCAATGCTGACTTTCCATCTTCCGATAACCATGACACACCCACCAAGTTGTCCAATTAAATTAACAAAGACAAATACTGTAGCTAAGAAGCTACCACAATGCCAACTATTGTTCATAAATTCTTTTTGCTCTGACCATTGAAACCACATTCTTAATCCATCTTCTAGAAATGTAGCTATGAGACAAAGTCTTGCAAGAGTTGGCAGTATATGCTTTCCATTGCGAATTACCTATTAGTAAAAAATAATAATAATTAGAATAATATATTATATTTAAAATACTTAAAAATATAGAAATGTATTTATATATTAAAAATTATTTACACAAGTTTTTATAAATCTATATAGATCATATTGAATATTTTCTATTATTAAAGAAACTAAAATAAGTATATAATAACATCAAAAAATAAATATATATAAAAATAATCTTTATAAAAAGAATATATTTTTTATAAAGATTAATGAAAATGAAAAAAATATTATATAAATAAAGAAAATTAAAATAATGCTAAAAAATTAATCTTCCTAAACATATAAAAAAATTTTTATTAAATTTATTTAAACTAAACAATAACATAAATTTTGTTCTAATCTCAAAAAATTGATATGAATACATAGTATTTCTAATATATAAATTCCCTAACCTTTAATTTTGTAGGGTGCAAACATTAATATAAGAAAGTTTACAATATTTAATAATATTATAGAGTCTTTATATGAAGAAATAATCAAGAAAATAAAAAATTAAAATTAAAATATGTGAATGTAATATACTAATCGTAACACGATGACGTTGACAGGAGTACACCTGTGTTCCTGTAGGAATTTTGCTGATTTTTTGTTATGAATTTCTGAGCGTGAAATTAAAATTATTCATAAATAAAAAATAAATCGAATGCGATGATCCATAAATTTACCTGATCCGCGATTTCTTCCGCTTTTGAGATCACCTCCTGCGAGATTAGCATCTTGTTTTATTTAAAAATCAAAAAGTATCCATACACTTACATATACACACGTGCGCGCACGCAAGTGATACTGATAGAAACGAGTAGACAAAGACAGAAAAGGAGAAGGAGAGAGGGAGAAAATTGGAGAAACACGGAACAAATAACCTTACCGCTCAGCACAATTGTGTAAGCGGTAGTAAGTATTCTTGCAACTCTTCTGAATGATGTGGAGATCGAGGTACGCGTCACTTCCGGCATACGTGGTCAGTACAATTTATTCATGGTCTTTTTAAAAGTACAAAGATCAACTACTTAAATTTTATTTTTTTTAATTTTCTTAAAATTTTTTTTATTATATTCTTTATTTTTTCTTGTTATTTAACATATTTGTTTTAAGAATAATTATTCTTTATTTCAAATATTTCAAATTCGATAATAAAATTATTCTTTAACAAAATTTAAATAATCTTTAAGATAAATTTTGATAATTTTAAATCAATGAAATAATATAGAATAATTTGTTTAAGTTATAATAATATAATTGATAAATAATTTTGTATTTTTATCTTTTTATAATTCAATAATTTTGTTTATTATCTTAATATTTTAATATTTTTATTTTATTTATCTGCAATAGAATATAATTTTGATAAAATATGAAATTTGTACCTATTATTAAATTGAAAATGTGTATGTATATACATATTTATAAATATACATATTTATATACATATTTATTAAAATATATAAGTATTTATATTGAAATAGATATTTAAATTAATATATAATATATATATAGATATATGTTGATATACATATTGTTATTACTTATACATATTGATTCGTACATCTTTAAAATACAATATATTTTATGGTTGTATATAAAATAACGAATAAATTTAATTTTTAAATTATTTGTACCATTAATTATAATATAATAAAATATCAATTGAAGATATAACTTTTTTTAAAAAATTAAAAACATTAAAAAACATTTTAAAAAATTCTAATAATTATTCTATAAAAATTATTTAAAATGTGATTATTTAAAGCATTAATATTAAATGATGTTCTGATAATTTAGCGATGTTTTTTAAACATAAAGTAACAATTGTGTGAATTATAAAGTGTTACATAATTAACATATGTATATTTTAGATTTTAGAACTGGATCATAAGAATTGTGTGTACTGAAGCGCCATCTTAATCATACGTTGAGAAATGAAACTAGTATATTGTATATTGAAATCTGTTAAATGTAGAATGTGTTTATTATTTTTTGTTATGTAAAAGTGGAAAGATAATATTTCACTTTTAAAAATAAAATTTTTACAAATAAAATAAGTGAAGTTATTGATGAATTTGAAGTTTTTCAATTTTAATCATATTGTGTATAATAATAATAATTTTTCCATCGTAAAAAAAAAAAATATAATTTTTTATAAAACATGTTATTATTAAGATTTATATTTTTCATATTGTTCAAATAACATTTATAAAACTAATTACATAATTTGAAATACTACAATTATTATACGTTAGGAGGAGGTAATAAAAAATATAATTTGTATTTAAAGAGCATGTTTCATATTTAAGTAGATTTTGAAAATTTCACATTCTTTTACATATGAACAAATATTTGTATTCCTAGGGAAGTTATTTATTTAGGAAATGTTTTTATATTATTATTCTCTCGATGATAATTTTCATTTAGAAATTTTGTAATGATTTAATTTATTTTGTTATATATTTGTTATATATTTTATATTATAATTGATTAATAAATTAATTTTCATTAAAAATATGCCGTAGCTTTATTCTTTATTCTAGCATAATCAACATGGCGCAAGAAACAACTACTAAATTAATTAGAGAAGATTTTGATGCTGGTCCATCAAGCTATGATGAAATTATTCCTAGCTTATTTCTTGGGAATCTTACAGCTGCTACTGATATCAAGTGGCTAAAAGAACCAAAATAAATTATATACTCACTGTAGATTCATGTCCACTTCCAAGAAAGATTCAAGAGCTTTTACCAAATTTGATTATAAAATATATTTCAGTTACTGATATGCCACGTGAAGATCTCTTAACTCATTTTGAAGATTCTTATGAATTTATAGATCATGCTCTACAGTTAAACAATAAAATTTTGATACATTGTTATTTTGGTGTCTCTAGATCAGCTACAATTGTTATTGCATATTTAATGAAGAAATATGGAAAAAGTTTCTACGATGCATTTGAAGCTGTAAAAAAAAAAAGGCGTTTTGTTGGACCTAATGCTGGTTTTTTGGCACAATTAAAACTTTATGAAGAAATGTGTTTTGGAATAGATAATACTAATGTACAATTCAAAATGTACAAGTTACAAATTGCAGCAGATAAGGTAAGAAAAGCAAAAATTTTACCACAAAATTGTGCAGAATTAATAAAACCAGACCCAGCTCTTGCTACAGTACATCCAGAGCCAACAGTATATCGTTGTAAAAAGTGTCGAAGAATCGTAGCTAGTGCTAGTAACATTTTGCCACATATGCCAAAAGAAAAACAAATTTGGAGACATATAAGTTCGAGAAAAACGTCTAAACAATCAAAACCATCGCACGAATTGTTAGAACCGTTACAAAAAGAAGAGCAACAATCTATAGAATTTTGTACTAAAACATTATTTGTGGAACCGTTAGCATGGATGCCCGACATAACGCATAATGTTGAAGGCAAATTAAATTGTCCAAAATGTAATACAAAACTAGGTTTTTTTAGTTGGATAGCGGGTAGTCAATGTCCATGCGGCAGTAAAATAGCACCTGCATTTTATTTGGTTCCTTCAAAAGTAGATTGGAGTAATGCTGTACAAAATGTACAAGTAACTGTATAGTATTAAAGATATTTCTATAGTTAAGAATTTTGGACGGATGGTTAACATGTAACGATTAATATATAAGAAAAGGTTTTTGAAATCTTTTTATGTGGTTTTAGCTCGATTAGTATTAATAACGATTATACATGTGACCAATATATTTAGAAAATTTATATTCTAATTTCGTGCCAATATTCGTACATTACATGTAAACAAATAATTTACGACTGTAATTTTACATGTTTCTTGCCGCAACGAGTAAAACAACCCGTTCTTCCAATATGCGATCTTCGTATTTATATATATATATATTTTTCCTTTTTTCTATGATTAATATACATAATATAATAACTTTGTAGACTAACATACTGTTTCCTGTATAAATGTCTTGTATTAAGATGCGATAATACATTTACGATTTTTATTATTTATTAACTATTTCAGTTCTACAAAATAACGTTTCGAGTTATTTTCATTACCCTGTATTTTATTGCTTAAATCCTACTTTTATGCAATCGTGTTTGATCTATTGGTCCTTTGCATAATATATCCCATTTTTTTATATTGACTTACAATTACAATATTGGTAAAAACTTTGGTATTTTATAAATTGGTGATGCTTGAAATTCGCGAATTAGAAAATGAAATTAGAAAGAGAGAGAGAGAGAGAGAGAGAGAGAGAGAGAGAGAGAGAGAGAGAGAGAGAGAGAGAGAGAGAGAGAGAGAGAGAGAGAGAGAGAGAGAGAGAGAGAGAG